ATTACCAATGATGTATTTAATATATTTAACTAGATGTCTAATAAAAGCATTTATAATAAATAATAATAACAATAATAAAAATTATAATAATAACAATAATAATAATGATAATAACATACTTAACTAGATGTCTAACATCGCAAATATTCAGTTAAAAAAAAGTAAAGCAGTTTTTTTTAAACTTGTAAGCCGGTAACCGGTATAAGTAAAACAAAAAAAAATAAAAGTAAAATTATATATATATATATATATATATATATATATATATATATATATATATATATATATATATATATACATATATATATATATATATATATATATATATATATATATATATATATATATATATATATATATATATATATATATATATATATATATATATATATATATATATATATATATATATATACACATACATTAGGGTCGTCCATAATTTACGTCAAGCTCTAAAGAGAAAGGGGAAGTTAGTGGTTTTGTGACGAATCATACGAGACTTGTTACGATGTTGCGACGAACGTTGGGGGGAAGAGGGAGAAGGGGTCAAAAGGGTTGTTAAAGCAAAAAACTTTAAAGCAAAAAAGTTACTGGTTTCTATCAGCATTCCTTAAGTATTAGAAAATTTTTTTAATAAAAACGAATATAATATATATTTTAATATGCTGTTGATTTAATGCAACGTTTTAAAACTAAGATAAAAACCTGCCTATTTAATAAAAAAAAAAGAGTAAAGAAAAAATTCGCTTTTGCCTTTATACTTTTTTGTTTCACCAACATCAGTCAAAACTTGCTAAAGACGAGTTTCCACTCATCTGTTTTTTCAAGGAAACGGGAAAGGGGCGGGAAAAATAATCACGAGGGCATGTGTTGTATAAGTTTTAATATGTCCAAAGGAAAACTACGCATGCTCACGTGATTATTTTTCCCTTCCCTATCCCGTTCCCGTAAAAAAACGGATGAGTGGAAACTCACCTTTACAGTCAAAAACATTTGAAAACTGTCGAAAATTGCTATTTAATGTTAACAATAGGGATGTACCAAATTTAAAAATGACTTGTTAATTAGTAATTGCTAATTAAAAATTAGTAATAGAATCAAAGTGACAATTATAAAACTAGTTTGGCTTATCATCGACATAATCAAGTCTAAACTTTAAAATTATATTATAAACAATGTTTAATATACATTAGTTTGTACTTTGAAGTATAATAAACGACTTATGAAAATTTAAACAAAATATAAAAAAGCACGCATTGATTTGATAAGCATAAAAAAAAAAGTTACTTTATAGTTTGTAGCACGTCACAATGTGTACTATGTATACCGCGGCATACGTACGTCAAGGAAACAAAGTGAAGAAGCAAATTACAAGTAGTATAATTATAGTATCGTAAACAATGAAACTATTTTATGTTTAACATAACAGTAGCTTATTACCTTTAAGTATATAAAAAAACTCGCCGAAGCGAGTTTTTTTATATACTTAAAGGTAATAAGCTACTGTTATGTTATATAAAGCGATTTTTTAAGCTATATTAATGTTTAAGCTTTGAAACTTAACAATTCTCTGCCAACTTATGAAATAAAGGGAATGAATTAAAATCTCAAAAAAAAAACTTTATTTAGCCTTTTTATTTAACATTTTATGCTTTTTGCAATATTTTCAGGGGGTAGAGCTATGTCAAAACACTAAAAAGGCAAAAAATTAATGCATTTAAAAAAAAAAAAATTATTTATTCCCTTTATTTAGTTATTTTGAATAACTCCTGAAAATTTGAAGTAAATTGCTTGACCCAATATTAAGAAATCACATTGCATGTCCGACTAAGTATCGTTAAAATGCAATTCTGAAAAAATAAGAAAAATAAAATACAAATGCATAAAAAATTTAAAATCTACCAGATAAATAAGCTTTTTGTGATGAAATTTTTTTTATATTATTATTCCAACCTTTTTTTAATGCTTTTAACTTTTCTCTTCTTTTTTTTACTTAGACATCATCTTTTTTAAGCATGTTTTTAAACGCTTTGCATCTTTTAATTAAAATGCCAATTAGTTTTTCAATGCCAATTAGTTTTTCAAGTCAAATTTTATATTAAGAAACTTAAAAACTCTGTTAAGGCCGTATGTACCATCATTAAAATAAAGTATTGCAGAATTAACACCTACTTCAAGCAAAAATCTTGTAACATAAATAATTTTCGGACATCGAGACCATATTATGTTACTAAGTCCTTCATTACAATTATGTGTCACTCCATGAATGCATTTTTTAAGAAAAGAATCATCAGATAAATCATCAAAATCTTTCTTTATAACATCATAAATTCACATAGGAATATTTACTTTTGGCTTGTAATTATCAATTTCTTCTGCACAATTTTTCCACCTACACCAACTATTTAATCCACTAGGACATAGTATATGACGCCGCATTTTGTCTGTAAAGTTAGTAAATGATTTAGAACAGCTCGTATACCTTTTTTCATTAGGTATACTTTTTTATCATCGTTTAAACTTTTATTGTTTGCAGTTTCTCTTATCACCATACCAAAATAGTTTTAAATAGTGTTTATAGAATTATTAGTGAGGTTTCCAACACCTGTTAATTTTTTTCCACAAATAATTTGCTTTCTTTGCTCTCTTAAACGATTTCCCACACGCTTTTGTATATGCCTAACACATTCAAGTTTTTGCAGTTCAACGCCATATTTACTATATGGCTTACTATTAGCAACATCATTGAATGATGAAGAATTACCATCACCTAGTCACATCACATCAAATAGTATTTATAAATTACCCCATAGTTATCTACAGATCTAGAAAATATTTCAACTGCACCAGCACTTTCCATAGCTCCTGAAGATTTGTTATGATTCAAATGACCTTTATGATTAGCTTTCCAACAGTTATACATAGGATGTTTCATTTTGTTTTTCCATATTTGGCATCCTCTGCAATATATACTAAGCACTGTAAAGTCAATACAACTCCTTTCACTTACAGCTGTTACTACTCCATTTAAAGAACTATGGCCTTGTTTTTGTCATGTGCCATCAATAGAAACTTTAATCAAAGCTTCTCCAGTAGATGTTTTATTTGTTGAACTATTCTTAATTTTATCTACAGCATTTTTCATAGATTGTAATAAAGCTAAATGGTAAGCCTTTGATATTGTTTTCATTGCATTATTCAATGCATTTTTGCTCATACATGACATACTGATTATACGAGAAAAATCTTTTATAGCCTCATGCCCTTTACCTATTTCACGAAAACTATTATAACTTCAAATAAATTTCTTCCTTGCTTTGAATTACTTTTATAAAGCTCATTTGAAGTGTATTTGTAAAACTCATATTTACATTATTTGCAACTAATAATTAATTTGTGAGAAAACCCCATTCTAAGTTTGGAATCATCATTAATAAACATGTTACTTTCACAATTTAGACAAATACAAAATTTCTCAATGATATCTTTCAGAGTTTTAAAGTTAAAAAGAATGTAGTAACTGATTTCACTGTCTGTATTTTGGCTAAACTTGAGCTTTTTAGAACTTGAAAAGTTGGTTGAGGTGGTGTTTGACTCTTGTTTTCAGCGCTATTTTTCGAAAACCCATTCAATCTTCTTTTTCTTTTCCATTCATTGTTTATTTCTCATCGCTATTTATATATATGTATATAATATATATGTAATTTAATTTTTTGTTTTTGTTTTTATTAATGATTTAATATTTTCGAATTTTTCATACTGTCTTTTAATTTGAATGTTCTGCACAAAATTATTTTATTAAGGTACTTTTTTTCTTAAAAATATATATAAAAATGCACTAATAAAAGAGCTCCTGATAAACGAAACCAACAGGAAAGTAAAGCTTTTTCTTTTTTTAATAGTGAGCCAATCCCGAAACCCCGAAAATCAAAAAAGAGAAGCAAACTTTTATGGTGCATTTTTTTTTTTATTTTTTTTTTTTTTTATTACAAAACAATAATATTTACAAATTTTATAAATTTACATTATCTCAGTTGATTTTAAATATCTTTTTTTTTATTACAATATATAATCTTTACAGGTTTTTTTATAATATAACTGTTTTTTTTTTTGTTTATATAATATACGTTTTATAACTCGTTTTATATAGACATATATTTACATTTTTTTTTTTATTACTTTTTGATTTTATATTTTTTTGTGTTTATTTGTTTTTATATTTTTTTGTATTTTTTGATTTTATACTTTTTTTTGTTTTTGTAGATAAAGATTTGCAAAGGGTAGTAAAAAGAAATTTAGAGCTTTTCATTTGTAGATAAATACTATCTTTAGTTGAAATGCAAACAAAGCTTGTTGTATGAAATGCTACTTATTGTTTACTTATAAATAATTTGGCATGAGGACTTTAAGTAATCGCTTCCAAACCAAGCTGGCATAATAAACCATAATATGTTTAAATTTTTATGCAGTTGGTCCTAAAGCTAGTTAATAAAGACTTTTAACAAAAAAAAATGTTGTTGCTATGGTCGTTGCTAATGACGCTTTTTTATACTAACCAACAAACTAGCAAAAATAGATTAATTTTCGAAATGAGTTAGATATAATAAGCTTGACCATGGTTAAAATGGATCATTAAAGAATTATATCACTTAAATATCAAAAAATTCATTTTTTCATTAAAAAAACTTTTTTTTGTGGTTATTCACCTTGACTTAAATAAAAATTTCCAGAAGTTTTTATTTACGAAAACTGACCAATTACTCAGTAAAAGCAATTACTTATTTTTATTCACCCGGCCTAATGATTCGACTCTGGCTTCAGCCAAAGTGCAGAAGGTTCGGTACAACCAAGAAAGCATTCCGAAGCCAAAGTTTCGGTACATCCCTAGCAGGGCCAGCGCAAGTAGCTGTCACGTGGGATGGGGGGTACCATTATAATTTTTGCCGACTTAAAAAAAAATAATATAAAAAGGTCCTCCCTATGACTGACTGTTGTGGCCTTGTTTGTGGTCGACTAAGTTTTAGTGTTTAGGGGAGGGGGAGGGTGACACTCCACTATTGCCTCTTGTTTAACAATGTCCGTACTGACTTGATAAACAAAAACAACGAGAAAATACCATTTGAGGACGAGAATTCTTTAATGAAATTTAGTTGGTTAGTTATAATATCTTACTACAGGTCATGTTTACAAACCTGATTTTAAAAACCAAGAGTATAAATATACAAGCTAAAAATACCCAAAATATGTTTAACTTAGTTGAGATATGAATAAACTAGTAAGTGCAGACTAAATTTTTATCTAGCTTAATGCCTAAGTAGTTTACAAATTTTTTCGCAAGAAAGTTTTAAACCATTTAATAAAATTTTTATTTGCAGGTCTACTTTTTTGCGACAACGTTAGAATTATATCAAATCATTTTTTTGTATTATAAGAACTTTTATAAATATTTTATATATTTCTATAATTTTTGGCATTCAACTAGTGTAAGAATAGTTTTTTAAGTTTACTTAATAATAGTTTTTTAGGTTTACTTATTAATTTTTAAAAAAAAAATTTCAAAATAAAATTTGCTCTCAGCAAAGTGTCAGAATCTACAAAATTTTAAAACCTTAGACATGTCGTTTATATAAATAAGAAACAGTAAACGAGTAATCATTGGTCTCTACTTGGATATAATTTAAGCTTGAGCAAATCCCATTAATAGTTATATATTGTCTCATTTTAGTTATAAGCGATTTAATATGGAAATTTGAAAAAAAAAATACTCCTCTGATGCCACAGTAAGATAACTTATAAAGTAAAATGTCAACATCTACAGTATCCTAGGCCTTAAGGCTTTTTGTTGGTTGATAAAAATATAGTATTTAAACATTTGTTTATCCATGGGGTTTTTGAATGTTGCATTTTTTGGGGAAAGAGCAAGAAATAGAAATAGTTTGTTCAGAAATAGTTTGTTCAGAAGCCAAAATGTAATTCTAAGAGAAGTTTGTTGTCAACGAAGAAGCCATATTGGTGGTTAGAAATTAACTTCTCAAGATTTTATAAATGTTGAAAAAGGAGGAATGTTGGCCTTTAGTTGGATATTATTAGCATCACTTTTAAATAAAGCATCACTTTTAAATATAGGTACAACTTTAGCTGTTTTTAAGTTTTCTTCAAAAATACCACTTAAGAATAAAATAGTAGTAATAAAAGGATTTTAGAGATTTCAGTTTTTATTAATTTTAAAATTTAAACTGGTAAATTTTTTTGTCAAGTCTATTTATTTGCATCTAGTAATTTGATAATTTTTAAAGTTTCATGTTTGTCAGTAGGTTTTATAAAAAAAGAATTTTGCATAGGGAAAATTGTAACCTAGATATTTCTAATAATGTTATTGAAGTAGTTGTTGGAAGCATTACAAATATCAAATAGATTTGCTAGGGTTTTCAACCCCCGGAATAAGAAAAAATGAGGTTGGCAATAATTTGCTCACCTCAATCTTTTTGAGATCGGCATCAGGTCGGCAAAAATTATTTGATACAAAGGTCTGACGATAAAACATAGAAACAAGGTGAGCAAAAAATTGCCAACCTCAAACACGTTCAGGTCAGCAGTTGCCGAATGCCGACCCTAATTCCAATAGTTGGGTTTTACCATTATGAGCAATTTTATTATCAACAAATTGATTATTTATTGGACATACGATATGTATGGAGTGACATTTTTTTAGTTCATACTTATCGTACATTCAAAAATACTACATTGATACTATAATGATGAGTAGTTTTAATAATATTAATAATTATTATATTATTCATGTTTTATTTACCTTATTAAATCAATTTAGAAATAAAATTTTATGTTATCTTCTTAAATTACCTTGTTTTATTTGAAACACTTCTAACAACTGGTACTTAAAAAAAGTATTTTTATAGGTTGATGTAATAAACCCATTGAGTTCATATAAGTAACTATGTATTGCAGTTTCTATGTATTGTAATAAAAGTGCATGACAATGTTGTTGATAAACAAAGTATGAAAAAATAGTTTTTGCACCTTGTCTAAAAGAGAAAGGGCGTCATTAGAAGATCTGCCCCAGATATGGCAGGTATATAAGGAATATATAAGGATATATAAGGAATAGAATTCAGAGTAAGAAAGTGTTGAGCTTAATAAAGAGATGCAACTTTAGCAGATGCTAATTTTGCAATAGATTTGGTATATGGTTTCCAAGAAAGATCAGAAATAATTGGATCAGAGTTAATCCTAGAAGATAAAGGGTAGATAACTCATTAAGTACATTACTGTTCATAATATAGGAAGGTCTAAATTATTTCGATAACGATTGGCTGAAAAAAATTGAGTTTTATCTGAATTAAAGTTCAACAAGCACTGTGAGCCTCATGCTGTAGCAGATGTGAGATCTTTTTCAAGCTTAAATGCCCCGCCTAAGCAATTAAAGAGTGTTGGCTTCTTATCATGACAAGACTAAATGGTAGTATCATTAGCAAACAATGCCACCTTAGATTTGAGATTATCTGAAAGATCGTTAGTATAAATTAAAAAGAGAATAGGGCCAAGAATAGAACCTTGAGGAACCCCTGAGGTTACAAAATAAGAAGAAGAGTGCTGTCCATCGAGGACAACTTTTATACAACGATTGGAAAGGAAGGATTCAATAATCTTAAATATGTTACCTGATACACCATATAAAAAAGGCTTATGGAGAAGACCAGCATGCCAAACTTTACCAAAAGCATTAGAAATGTCAGGGTCGATGGCCTTAACCTCTCCACCTGTATCTAATGCACAATAAAACCTATTGGTTGTTACTGTAAGCAAATCAGTTGTAGAACGTGAAGATCGAAATCGATATTGATGATCAGAAAGTAAGTTATTAGATTCAAGATGAAAGATTAAGTGTTTGTTAATTTAAGATTCAAAAACCTTGCTTATGATTTGAAGAAGGCAAATGGGATGGTAGTTGGACAAATCAGATCGCTCTTTAGATATTTTGAAAATAGGAATAACAGATTTTGTTTTCCAGCAGGCTAGAAAACAAGACTGATAAGCACTTGTTAAATAGTTTTATAAGTATAGGTGACAGCTCCGGAGAACACTTCTGCAAGACTATAACAGGTATGTTGTCCGGGCCACAAGCTGCAGAAGAGTCTAAGCAAGAAATCACTTTAGATACAGAAGCTGGAGTGATAAGAATGTCAAGCAATGGATCAACCTATTTGACGGCTATATCAGGTAGAATGCAACTAGTGGAATCAAGAGATGATATTGATGAAAAGTTCTCAGCAAATAATTCAGCTTTGTCTTCAGGTAAAGTGACAAAGTCTGAACCATACAAAAGAGGTGGAATTACTGATTTGCCCTTATTATTGATACTATTAAAGATTCTCTAGAAGTCAAAAGAGACTATTTTTGTGATGAAATATGAGATTTCATGATCTGAGAATTGCGGGCTTTGGCGTTAAACAAAACCTTTTTACAATGGTTTCTAACAGTAATAAACAGACATCTGTTTTCTGGAGATTTGTTTTGCTAGCAGGATGATAAATAATAGTTTTTATTGTATATATTTCTTTTATGGTATTTTTTTTTTAATCTTCTGTTAAATAACTTCTTATAAAAAAATAAATTGTCATTAACTATGAACAATTTTTTTTTCTGTTGCTGAATATTTTGTAGCAAACGAAAAATTTCCATAACAAATTTTCTTGTAACAAACTTTTTTTCATAAAAATAAAATAATTGTCGTTTAAAAGTTTATGTGGTTTTTTATAAAGTTAATTACTTCTTTTTTCATACTGTTTATAGAATAGTTAAAAAGTTAAAAATTATAAAAAGTTGCTTAATGGCAATTTATAAAAGTGAAATATGTAAAATAAAGTCTCAGCACTTAGGGATTCCTATGTGCTGAGACGAGTTCTGTTTGTATCATAAATAAACATTAGAAAATAAGTTGAAAGTTAATTAGACTTTCCAAAACAAATTATTAAATGGGGTATTAACAAAAAACTTTTTAATTTTAAAGGCCATTTTGTTTACTGCAAAGAAAAATTCCGGCTCTTTAATTATTTATATTATTAAAATCGGGTCTTATTAATGCGCTTTAGTTTAATAAAAAAGTGACCTCGTTTCTGTATTTTATAGTAAAATCTTTGTATCAAGTTTTTTTTGCTAAATTTATGCCAACCTCTAACAGTTTAAGGTCAGTAATAAATTGCTGACCTTATTTTTTTAAATTTGGGCTGATATATATATACACATACACTTGATATGTATGCAAATTTGGGGTTGGGAACCTTAAATGTAAAGTAATAATCTAAATTGTTAGTAAAAGAAATTTTTTTTTACTATATAAAGTAACATGTTGCATTATTTTAATATTTCAATATTTTACGCATGGTTTAGGGTGTTTATGGCAAGAAAATCTTATGCCAGACATTGTTGGCAACATAGCTTCTGTTTCAAGTGACACTCAAAATGACTGTTGTCAATATTGTCTTGACAGCTTTAATAATACCTTGGCTGCTTTCTTTCATGATTCAGTCTGCACATGTTTAGAAATATCTCATATAACAGTTCCATTTAATGGAAGCTTTTATACATATATAACAAGTATGGTTTTTTTGCATTATTATTATTTACTTTAATAATTATACATTTTAATAATTGACTAACTTATATATATACAGTGCTAGAAATAAAGAACTTTTATCTACCGGACAGTTTTTTTGGTAAATACTCAGGTTTGCCGGACCTGTTTGATAAAAAAATAAAGAAGTGCAATTGAACGCCATTCCTGAGCACGCTTAAAATACTTTGTTTTTACAACTTGATCACGCAATTTGTTTTGACAACTCTAGGGGTTTCAAATTGCGTTGAAAATAAAAAGAAAATTTGTAAGATAAATATCTATTAAAAAGAAAATCTTAAAGAAAAAGAAAAAATCTAAGCTCAAAAAACTAAAATTTGAAAAAGAAAATATATTTATATTATGTTTTTTAAAAAATTACTATATTATGCAAAATGTGTTGTAAATTATTAAAAGCAGATTATTGCATAAATATATTAAACTAGCTGATCTAACCCATACAAATACGGGTCTTTCTAAGTCAATTCCACAGTGAATTTTTCTATACTTTTTTCTTTATATATATCCTAGCTTTCCAGACTCATAAAATATGGATTTTTACCAAATCTATCATTTCTATACTTATTTATTCCACACCGATCATTTTTATACCTATTATTTGTTTACTATAATATTTTTAAGTAAAATTTAAAAAAATAGTAAAATAGCAATAAAGATTTCTAATAATTAAAATAAAATAAAAAAACAAAAGTTTTCTCATTTTTAAAAATTTATTAGACCGGATTGTACCATTTACTGCCTGCAAACTCAACTTTTGCTAAAGACGTTTACACTTACAGACATTTGTATGCAACGCTATCCAAATAGTAGAACTAAGAAGATCTTAGGCCATTAAAAACTATAGACTATAAAATTCTAAGGGATTGTCCATAAATTATGCAATGCTGAATTTATCTTTAAAAAAGGAGATCTTCAGTTCTTTTAGGTTGCGATTTTCATTAAACTTTATGAGTTATTTTGATCTTTTATTTAACATAGGACTCTGCGAGGGAAAATTTTGATCTTTTTTGTTTTGTTCATTAGTGAAATTTAGCGTTGTGTTACTTATGGACAATCCCTTATTTAAGATTAAGTTAAGATTAGGGATCAGCTAAAAGGTATATAAAGCCGAAAAATAATGGAGTATAATACTATTTTGATGGTTATCTAAATTCTGTTGTTGCGCACTCTTTTGAATGTTTAACAGGGGCGTGGTAAAATAGCTGTAAAACTTTAAATTTCCTTACTATATTAATATTAAATAGTTTCAGCTTTTAATTATTTTAAAAGTAATTAATTAACAAAATGGTTTAATTTAAGTACAAAATTAAAGTTTTCAATTATGTTCTTATATGAAATATATATTTTTAAACCCCCTTACCTTTTTAATAAAAGTTAGCTTGCTTGTTTTCTAATTTTTGTTATTTAAAATGCAAATCAAAAAAACTTTATAGTTCTATAAACTTTATATTTATATATAAAAATGCTGTAAACTCGTTTTCCTTGCACGAACTCGACTTAGTTGTAAATAAACTTGAAATGTAAAACTAAAATAACATAAGTATCTCAATAATGACACATACGCAACAAATATCCCCCCATTTTTAATTGTTTTTAGAATTTATAGCTTTTTAAATGTTTATTAAAGTGTATTATATGGTTAGATATGTTTTTACATGACCTTTATAAAACTTCACAAGTATTTTGCATTTTAAAAAATTAAAAAAAATTAATAAAAAAGAGTCGCCGGTCCTTAAACTTAAACCTGGGCTTTCTTGTTCAGAAGCTCAGCGCGCTAACCACTAGGCCACGCAGGTACATTTATCATCAAAATTTTAAAAATATATAAAAATTATTTAAAAAAAAAATAGGTGTTGAAAATCAGAAATTAGGAAAAGGTTGACGTGTTTTTAAGTGAAAGTCAAACTGTAAAACTTGATATATGTTTAAGTATGTTTTAACATTACAGAACATGAAGTTTACATATGTACAATATAAGTTTCACGTTCGCTCATGTTTTCTTATAAAGCAAGCTGAGACTCTTTCTTCCCAATACCTCGGTCGCAATGGCTGCCAAGGGTTTCTTTTAAAATACGCTTAAAGAGACACTATTTCTACTACTACTAAAACTATTAAGTTTAGTAATAATAAATAGAGTTACATACATAAATTATGTAATTAAACACATAATTATGTAAAAAAAAAAAAAGTGAAATAAAAATACAAAAATATTAAATACATCAATTTCTATGTTAATATATTAAATACATAAATTAATAAGTTTACTTATTACTTAATTAAATAAAGTAACAAATTAGTTATAATGTTTACAAAAAACACATACTGAAACTGAAACTGAAACAAAGGGAAAAAATCACATCCTTAAATTTTTTGACCCTGTGTAATAAGTATTTGTGTTAATAAGTCCCAGTGTATTAAGGTTAACAAATTCAAATCAAGAGGTAGTCCACTGTTATTCAGGGTGGTAGCCTTCTTATAAGTATACAGAATAATATTACTAATGGCAAAAGTTTTATCAATGGCAAAAGAAAAAGAAAAGGAATTTAAACGTAATCCAATATCTGAAACAAGTACTAGACATGACAGTTGGATTCAGTTGCTTTTAGCAATAATTAAATTTCTCACAGAAAATATTAACAACGGACAATGTTGCTCTTAAAGTTGAAATACAACAAATTAAAGAGCATTAAACAACAATAACTGCTTCACAAATGTATACGGTAAATTCAACAGCTTGGTCAGAGGTTGTAGCTAACCCCTAATCAACAGCAGCAAAGGCTATTGCAAGGGTTACTGAACAAAATAATAAGATGAAAGAAACTAAGGCAACTTGTGTAGTCATTTATGGTTTCCTTGTTACAATGATGACAAAGCTGCTGTAAAAGGTGTTATTGAGGCCATTAAAACAGGTTCCACTCACAAAATAGTCCATAAGCTTCCAGCAAATATAAGTGCTCAAAAGGACTCTCCAACTGCTCAACCGATTGTTGTCCAATATGAAGATGTGGAAACTAGGATTAGTATACTAGCTTCAGCAAAAATCTATCAAAATTTGACAGTTACAGGAACAAAGTTTTTATTAGTCCAGACCGAGCTCCTTCTGAGGTTGATACTTCTAACAAGCTTAATAAAAATAGGAAAAAGTACAATGACGCTCTAAAGACAAATAATGCACCTAATCAGCCCTTTCGATTTGTCATCCGAGGAGGGAGACTCAAATGCATCAACACACAAAAAAAATCAATATTAACGGTACAGAGAAAAACCCGTTTGGTGACTGGAAAGAAGCTTGCGCAGTTGCAGGACTATCATATGTCATTCCAGTCTGAACAATTAGCAAATCAATTAGCACATACTTCGGCACTAAACAAAAACAATCTTCATCAGAGCAAATCAAAATCTCTCTATTGCTTCTATACCAATGCAACTTCACTCAATAAAGACAAAATTACTGAACTCCAATTATTAGCTAAACAAAACAAATATGATCTAATTTTTATAAACTTGGTTCAGTTCTACTTCTGCTCCATCAATCAATAACTATATACTATTTAGGAAAGATAGAATTAGTTACAGAGGTGGTGTAGCAATTTATGTTCAAAATAATATAATGGCATGTGAACTAGACAAGTCGCAGCTAAATAAAAACTTTAAATGCATCAAAATAATTTCTATTAGGTTCTATTTATCGCCCTGAGAGGAACTCACCAACTGCTTCAGTGCAAATAAATAAAATAATTTGTGCTCTTGGTTACGCTAGATACTTAGTTGATACAAAAGTATATAATGGCTTAAATGTGACAGGAGACTTTAACTTTCCAGGCATAACTTGGCAACCTGACTGGAGTATCTCATCTGACAATGAAAATAGTCTTAAATACAGGTTCAATGATGCTCTCTGTAACAACCACCTCTACCAGCATGTCAAATGTCCAAATTTTATAAAAACTGATGGAAATCTAAGCAACACACTTGATCTAATTGTATCAGAATCAAAAGATAGAATCAACAAAGTTTTAACAGGACCTTATCTTGGTACAGCCTCTCAAGTGCATATATCTCTTAGCTGGCAGCACAATTTAAGCAGTAGTTATTAAAATAATTTTAACAGCAAAAATTTCCTTTATAAATTTAGTAAATATGATAAAATAAACACTTTTATAAATAACATAATTTGGCAAGCTAGATTTATGGATCATGATGTTTAGGAATGTTATTCCATATGGTCTAACCTCTATAAGGAAGCATGCCATAAATTTATTCCGAAGGCATTAAAAAATACTGCCAAAAAAAGGCAACCCTGGATCACAAACATGAAGCTAATTAGACTAAAAAAAGAGCTCTGTTATAAAAATGCAAACTCAGAGTGGAAAAATGCAGCGCACATCACAGAGTATACAGCTGTCAAAAAGGAGGTCAAAAAAAATACCAAATGAACATTATGTGTCTATGAGTCAGAGCTAGCTAACGACAAGCACAATCCAAAAGGACTATTTGCATACATTAATAGTAACCGGATAGTGAGCAATCAAGTATCAGCCTTAACCTCAGATTCAAATCAAATGAGCAGTGATGGAATAACAAAAGCAAACATCCTCAAAAACCAATTTCAATCAGTTTTTACAAAAGAACCACTGACTCAGTCACTAAAACCTTTTGCATTCCCCAAGGTTCTGTGTTAGGACCAACACTCTTTGTCATATTTTTTAATGAAGTACCAATTCATGTCAAATCAGCCATTTGCAAAATGTATGCAGATGACACAAAGGTCATGAAAGTTATTGAAAATAATGAAGAATGAGCAGGTTTACAATCCAATCTAGATGAGATTGTTAAATGAACGCAAACCTGGCTAATAGAGTTAAATGTAAGAAAATGAAAAGTTATGCATGTAAACTCTGAAACAATAAAATTTGATTATAATATGGATAAAATCAAATGACGGTGCAACCAATAGAGCAGTTTTAAAAATCACAAATTCTGAAAAAGATATCGGAATTCTAATCTCCGAGAATCTTAAATATATGCTCAACAGTGCAATATAGCTGCAAACAAAGTAAGTAATATGCTTAGAATTCTTAAACACACGTTTGTATCAAGAGATTTTCCAAATTGACATTTGGAAAAAAATTTATACTGCACATATTAGACCATATCTGGAGTTTACCATACAAGCTTGGAACCCTTACCTTAATAGTGAAATAAATTGTTTAAAAATATAAGCTTCTCAACAGGTCAAACTTAATTGATTGCCACGTAATGCTTTGCTGCATAGCACCCAGAGCTCAACATTGAGTCAGATTTCATCACAAAATTTACAGGAACTGCTAAAAAAGACATTAGTTTTTTAACAACAGTGTATTCAATGACTGGAATGCTTTGCCAGATAATGTCATTGAGGCAATTTAAATAAATAAAAAAAATTTAAACAACTACTAGACAGTTTTCAGTCATCGTAGTTACTATCAAACTTTTTCAGACAGTTTTTTTTCCTTTCAATATTCTTTTTCAAAGAATAAAAAAAAAGGTTTCAATAACTTAATAAAAGTTTTATTTAGATCTATTTAAAATAACCCATAGTAAATGTAATTTGTTTATTCAAATGTAATTTTTTAAGTTATTCCTAATAATTAAAAATACTTATATTTTTTTAAATGTATGTTTTTAAAAATATAATATATATATTAAGTGCCAAGTAAGAAATAATTGTTCAACCTTACAATGGTAAATACCTTACAATGGTATTTTTTAATAAAGGTTATTCAAAATAATGTAAAGAAAAAAGAACAATCAATTACAAAAACCCATGAGAAAAAATTATGTTCACTCACTAAATTTACTAGCATTCCTTATAAAAATAAAAACTTCGTACAAAATATATCTTCATACACTTTACAACACCATGAACTGGATTTATTAAATAATGGTCTTAACTTTGCTTTACCACCAGCGTTTATAAAAAAGACGGAGGTTTTTGCTCAATTTGATAGCGTTGCACAATTTCTTAACACCCAACTTAAAAACAAGGGTTCGGAACCTCAAGTTAAAAGTGAACTTTCACATTTAGCAAATAATTATATTTACAAATACACGCCGTCTGAAGGTTGTCTGAGAAAACACAAAATAATAATAAGACTCAGGAAGAATGAAAACATTGTAATAACAAGACCAGACAAAGGGAATGGTATAATTGTTCTAATTAAAGTTGACTATATAAATTCTCTTAATAATATTATAAGTGATATAACTAAATTTAAAGAATTAAAAGATGATCCAAATATAAAAAAAGAAGTATCTTTACAAGGGTACCTTAGAAAACTTAAAGAACTTAAATGTTTTAAAAAAGATATTTACAATAAAATTTATCCTGTTGGTTCACAAACAGCAAGAATTTATGCTCTACCTAAGATGCACAAACTTAATAAAGATTCTTCTCTACCATCTTTTCGACCAATTATTTCAACAATTGGGACATATAATTATAAACTTGCTAAACATCTTTCAGATTTATTATTTCCATATTTACCAAAACATTATACCACTTTTGACTCATTTTCATTTGTTGAAGATTTAAAACAAGTTGGCGTAACTAACAAATTTATAGATTCTTATAATGTTGAAAGCTTATTTACTAACACTCCACCTAATGAAACTATAAATATAGCAATAGAATTGTTTTTTAAACTCGCTTAAAATATTTTTCTAAAACTCATTTCAAAAAATTACTTGAAATTTCAACGTCAGGTTCTCATTTCTTATTTAATGGAAAATTTTATGAACAATTAGATGGCGTTGCAATGGGTTCTCCTTTAGCACCAATTTTAGCTAATATGTTTATCGGTTTTCATGAACAAATGTGGGTTAATAATTGCTCATCCTCCATACCAATTTTTTATAAACATTATGTGGATAACATAATAGCAATTTTTAATTCAGAGTTTGAAGCGGAAAAAATCCTTAAACATCTCAATAAACAACACAAAAACTTGAGATTTACTATGAAAAAAGAAAAAGACAAACTCCATTTTTGGATGTTCTTATTATTAAGTCTAATTCACTCTCTACATCAGTTTATCACAAAAAAACATACACGAGTCATTTGCAAAATTTCTTTAGGTTTGTCCCTTCATGTTAAAAAACTGGTCTTATACGTTGCTTGATTAATCGAACATATAAAATTAGCAACACGTGGTTTGGATTTGATAAGGATATAAAAAATCTTTATTTAGTTTTAAAAAATAATCAATTTCCGCAAAAAGTTATCGACACTGAAATTAAATTATATGTTAAAAAGAAAATTAATCCACCTGTTATAAATACTGTTGACAATACTAATATAAGATATTTTAAGCTTCCATTTATTGGATTTTACTCAAATTTCACTAAAACTAAAATTGATAAAATTATTAAAAAATATTGTAAAAATGTAATAATCAAATTTATATTCACAACCGATAAATTAAAAACCAGTTTTTGCATAAAAGATCCACTTCCTAAGATGCTTAAATCTAACGTTGTCTACAAATTTTCTTGTGCTGGCTTTAACGCCAGTTATATTGCAGAAATCTCCAGACATTTGACAACAAGGATAAAGGAGCACCTTACGAGTGACAAGCAATCACATATTTTTAAACATTTGAATTCATCCATTAATTATAAAACACAAACTAATTATGATTGCTTTCAGATTAAAATTATTATTACCATTAACAAATTAAAAATAAAAGAAGCACTTCATGTTAAATGGGAAAATCCTTTAAATAAACAAACATCTCATTATATTATAAATTTATCTATCTAACTTTTTATATTATTACTAATATTATTAATATTTTAATATTAGGAAGTTTATTGTCATAATTTGTAATATAATTTTTAATTGGTTTGTAACAAGTTTATCTGTCCGTTAAATTTTTTCTCTGTATTGTCTTTAGTTTTTAAATTTATTTACCAGAGTTTTAATTGTAAATTAAATCTTTAGAAAATGTAGGAAGACTATGAAACATGTCTTCAGTTTTTAAACTTATTTACCAGAGTTTTAATTGTAAATTAAATCTTTTGAAAATGTGTAAGACTATGAAACATGTCAAGAATAAAAAATATTGTGATTTTTATTAAAATTTTAACAAATTTATTTCTAATGCGATGTTTTAAAAAACAAGAAAATATATATATATATATATATATATATATATATATATATATATATATATATATATATATATATATATATATATATATATATATATATATATTACTAATACGTTATGTTTGTAAAAAAAATGTTTATCCAACTTTATATTCTACTGTCAGTTTCTCCTTTAGCAGGAACATCAGGAAAAATTTTTGATGACCTTGCTGAAGGAGAAACTGACAGCTCAACTTAGATTAATTTATAACTGCTCTGTTCTTTTTGTAAAATACATATTAATAAACATTGTAATTTGACATACAAGTTATAAAAAAAGTTTTTTTTTTAAAGGAGATCCTATAAGACTTAACCAATCAGAATATGAATGTGGCCATCGTGGATCCTTTAATTTACTAACTCTATACTTTGTTGTAAGCTCAAAAGAATTATTTTATGTGCAGTTTACAAACATGGATCTAAATTCAAGTTTATTGACCTCAGTCCTAATGTTGACACCAGATAGTAAACAAATAAATTATGATTATACTACTGTTGGAATTTCTATTTCAGCAACTGGTCATAGTTCTGATAATTTCTTTCAAGATTTAGCTTATATATTTTTGGTATGTATGATCTTTTTTTATTTTATCTATTTATAGTTTTTTTTGAAATCCAATCATAAGTAAAAACTTTGAATCTTTAATTCAAGGAATAAATGAATAGAAGGAGTTGTTCTTATTTTTGGATTATACTTATTTTAAGATTTTAAGTTTCTCATATTACTGGATCATCTCTAATTCTTAATAGTTTTTAAGATCTGTTTCTTCATTTGCAGTAACTTTAACTTTAACCAGTGTAAATAATCTTGGTTGTTCTTTCACAATTTGTATTAATTTATTTTATTCTATTAATAGGCTCTGCGTTATTGTATTTAAGAGTTAACTCAAGATATACATGTAGAAATAAAATTTCATCTCTCTCATGATTTTCTCAATGGATTTAACATGACATGTTTTAAAATAATTTATTAGAAATAAAAATCAGGCTACTCCAGAGTTTAAATTAAAAATTAATCGTATCTTAAAATGATAACAAATGTCATTGATTTTAGTATTTTCTATTCAGCAGAAGTAGGTTTTATGTTTTTACCAAAGTGAGTTAAGAATTGAGAGTTAAGAGGCAGTTATTAATTTTTAATAAGGATATTCTGACATGTCTTTAGTTAGGGTTTTGTTACTTCTGAATAGCCAAAATAATTCAATAAAAAGTTTCATACTTTTTAATAATATTTTAAGTAATAGTTGATGAATAAAAAAAAAGATTTTTTTATAAAAAAATTTACTTCATATAGTCTAAGTTTTTTTTTTTTATCTTTTTTTTAGTATTTTTAAATTAATTGTTAAGATAATACTTTTAGCTACATTAAAAAATTTTTTAATTAACAAAAGTATTTTATAGTTAATGAAAAAAAAATTTGTTATAATAATATTCATCAGTCATCGTCATCATAATCATCATCATCATTATCATCATCATCATTGTCATCATTGTCATTGTCGTCATCGTCATCATCATCATCACCATTATTAGACAAATTTCTGTATATAAGTCTAAATTTTTTTGAAAGTCTAAATTTTTTTGGAAGATTTCCATTTTACAACGGTTGTTAAAGTTTTTGCTTAAATAGTTAAGAAATATTTTAGACAACAATCATTAAAATAAATAGCATTAAAATAAATTAAAAATAAAGAGTTTTTAAAGATGGCACATAAAATGAGGTTTGTGTCGTGTTTCTATATTTGTCGTTTTTAAGTTTAAATTTGCACAAGAGACGCTAGCTCTTTAGAGCAATGCCCATTATATTTACATTATAGGGCACAGCTCTAAATAGTAATTAAAGTAAAAGAGAAAGAGAAGCAACATTATGTCGACCAGCATGCCAAACTTTATCAAAGGCTTTAGAAATGTTGTGAACGATTGCCTTAGACTCTCTACATCTATCTAATGCATGATAAAATCTATCAATTTTCTACTGCTAACAAATTAGCAGTAGAACAAGAAGATTGAAATATTGATGATTAGAATGTAACTTATTAGATTCAAGATGATAGATTAAGTATTTGTTAACTAAAGGCTCAAAAACCTTGCTTATTATTGGAAGAAGATTAATTGGACAGTCAGATTACTCTCCAGAATTTTTGAAAATAAGGATAACAGATGCCACTTTCTAGCAGGCTGGAAAACAAGACTCTGATAAGCACTTGTTAAACAGTTTTGAAAGTATAGGTGACAGCTCGGAGAACACTTCTGCAAGAATATAACAGGTATGTTGTCCAGACCACAAGCTGTAGAAGAGTCTAAGCAGGAAATCACTTTAGATACAGTATCTGGAGTGATACGAAGGTCAGCAATGAATTAACCTGTTTGTTGGCTATATCAGGTAGATACGACATCAACTCATAAGATGATATAGATGATCATGTAGAATGCAAGTGGATTCATAAGATGATATAGATGAGAAGTTCTTGGCAAAAAATTCCAGCTTCGTCTTTAGGTAAGGTGACAAAATTTAAACAATAAAAGGGAGGTGGAATAACAGATTAGCTTTTATTATAGATAGGTTCTCCAGAAGTCAGGAGAGCCTAATTTTACAAAAATAGGAAAACCATTTTACAATAATAGGAAAACCATGTAGAAAATGCTTGACTTAGATTTTTTGAGAGGGAATGAAAGATTCTATGCCAGTTCTAATCCAAGAAGTTATTTAAGAAGCACATTAATCAGCAGGAAGACAAAAGATTTCTACCTAAGGGCCTTCTTGAAAAAAATCATAGAAAGTGACCCAGTCAGGTTCAAGGTAGTTGTTAGAGGTGCAATGATAGGGTTTAAAGTGGTGGAGAAGAATGAGATAATAAATTTAAATAGACCAAATCATGATCAGAAACACCTAAAGGTCAATGTTGAAAAACTGAGCACTGACTAGGATCAGAAACAAAACTTTAGTCGAGAAAAGAAGGTAAATGATTCGGTTTGTCTGGAAAGCTAGTCAGAAAGTTGACTATTTGAGTTAGAAATTAAAAAATGCAAAAATTGTGGGCCTAAACGCCTGCAGTGTCACTGACA